GAACTGAGTGTGCTCAGAGGCTGCTGAGACCAGACATCAGACTCTGGGCCTCAAGGATCTATTTTCTCATTTCTTTTCCTTTTGCACTGAGGCATCTCTGCAACACAGGATGGTAAAATAGCAGACTCTGAGCAGTCTTATGTTGCTGGTCTTTAAGCTGAGACACAGCAATGCATCCAGGGATATAAAATATTGACATTGATCCATACCAGCAGTTCCAAGCCCCCTCCTTCCCCACCATGGATCCTCCCTAGATCCTCCCAATTTCTCCTCCATCCAGCAATGTAGAGTCGATGCTCAGGGTGGTTGTTTGGACCTGAGCATACCAGTTTTGGAATAGTTCGAATGCATCCTGTTAGCAAATTTACCTTTGGGCATTTTCTGAGAACACCTGCTGTGTGCCAGGAACTGGGAAAGTACATGGAGTCATGTAATTTAGACCCTGAAAACCCTCCAACTGCCAGATATTGAATCACAATCCAGACTTCAAGCATAAAGGGAGATCCAGAAGTCCCCCTGGACATCTCAGAAGCTGGTAGTCAGCCTGGCCTCAGAGTGTGCAAAGAATGTAGCTTTGTCCTACACACATTTCCTCTGCTGTTGTCTCCTGCCTTAGAGAGAGGGCCTGGGGCTTAAATAGATGCCCATCTGGGTGACCAGTGCTGGCCAGGAGGGCTGTGATTATGCCCAGCTTAATGCAGACATAATGTGATCACTGAGGCTCTCAAAATGCAGAGTTTGCAGTGTTAACGAGCTGGTGTCATCTGATTAGGGGCCCACATAAATACCACCATAGCCTCAGGCCATAGGCAGCCACAGGCAGCCACAGGCCATAAGCAGCAATGTGCAGGAGTGGCAGCTATACACAATCCAACCCAGGAGCCTGGCCTTCGGCGCTGGAGTCCATTGCCCAGGGTCCACCACAATGAAAACTGGGTGTCACACACCTGCAAATAGTGGTTTCTAATTAAAACCTTCTAGGGACTTTTTTAAAAAACCAACTTTATTGAGATATAATTCCCTTATCGTACAGTGCACTCATTTAAAGTGTGCAGTTCAACACTTTAAAATAATATTCACAGATGTGTGCAACAATCACCATAATCAATTTTAGAATATTTTTGTTACCTCAGAAAGAAACCTGTACCCTTTAGCAGTCACTCTCCATTTCCCCAACATCTTCCCAGTCCATAGTCGGGTTCTGGAGACTACTCTCTTCCTGGTTCATAGCCAACGCTTTCTCACTAGCCTTCCCGTGGTAGAAGGGGCTAGAGTCTCTTTGGAGCTTTTTTTATAAGTCACTAATCCAATTTGTGAAGGTTCCACCTCCATGGTTTTAAAAACCTTCCAAAGGCCCCAACTACTAAAATCATCACCTTCTTTCAGGGGTTAGGATTTGGTGGTGTGGGCAGGGGAACATATACATTCAGAACATAACTCTGAGTCATATGATAACTCCATGTCCAATGCTTTGAGAAACTGCCAGGCTATTTTTCACAGAGGCTGTACCATTATACATTCCCAGGAGCAGTGTATGTGAGTTCCCACTTCTCCGCATCTTCACTAACACTTGTTATGTTTGAATTTCTTTCTTTAGCCATCTTAGTTTGAGTGAGGGAATATCTCCTTGTGGTTTTGATTTGCATTTACCTGATAATTAGTGATGCTGAGCATCTTTCCACATGCTTATTGGCCATTGTACCCATTACTTTTGTATAAATTGCAAGATATAGCTTACATGCAAAAAAAAAAAGCACTCAGACTGTGTTGATTTAAAATAATTATAAAGCACTCATATTAAGGAACAAAACATTGCCAGAACTCCAGAATTCACCTGGGTGACCAAACACAGACCCTCGCCTCCTACCCCAGAACAACCACTGTCTTGATATTTGTGTCCCTTATCTCTTTACTTTTCATATTTTTCCCTTCTGTGTGTGTCCCTAAACAATATAATCCAGTTTTGCCCACCTATGAACCTGATACAGATGAAATCACTCTGTGGAAATCTTTTGATTGCATGTTTCCCTCCCTGCTATATTTCTGAGGTCAGCCTCTATTAGTATGGTTTTCTTTATCTGTTCATTGTCACTGCCTTATAGTGTCCTGTTGAGTACACACACCTCAGTTTATCTATGATGAACATATATTTCCATGATGGACATCTGGGCAGTGCCCAGTTTGGAGCTAGCATAAAAGCTTCTGCTATGAACATCTCTGAGCCTGCTTCCTGCTCACACAGCATACATTTCTCTAGACTCCATGTTTGGAAGTGAAATTTATGAATCATATGTCTGTGCATCTTCAGCTTTCTTAGACACTCTGCTATATGTGCACTCCTGACAGTAGTGTATGAGAGTTTCAGGTGCTCCACATCTTGCCAACACTCAGTAGTGTTGAAATTTGTTCTGAATGTCCCCCAGGCATCTCTGTGTTGAAGTCTCTGACTGCACTAAAATCTCAGCCAGCCAGGCTGTCATGCTTCAAAAAATGTCTGCCTAACCCTGCTCTAAACACACATCACACCTCTGAACTTCACTGTTTTACTGCTTTTTAGGCCAAGAAGAAAGGTAAGCTGCACATTTGGGAACTCTCTCCTCACTGACAACCAAAAAGGATGTCTAGGATGTCTGTGTTATTTGGGCAACTAATCATCAGTACTAGCTGTAAGTGTATAAAGATCATGTGAGGGTGCCAGCATACAGTAAGCACTCTGTCATACTAAGTGTCCTGATACTAGAACAGTCAATGAGCCAGAACTTCTATCCTTGAACATTCTGGATACTTGTGGCACCACTTGCTCATCTGACTGCAAGTACTGTGGTTGAAATACAGTGGCCCCCACTTCCTGTTGAGCATATTGACCAAGCCCTGGTCATCTCCTTCTGGAAGCAGAGCAATTAGGGTTGGAAAGATCCTGAAAATGAACCCATCCTTGAAAACAGGGACCTTATCTTGTCACCTCTGTATCTCCAGCCCCTACACAGGATCAGGCCCAGAGGAAGAACTGATGACTATTTCCTGATTCTGTTCTAGAACTCTGACTTTTGTCAGAAAAGATAAAATTGCCTTCACTCCATGGTTCAGTGAAGGCAACTGAGGCCCAGAAACAGGGTGTGACAACCCCAAGGGCACATAGCCAGTAAGCAGCCACCAAGGACCTGGTTCACACTCCTTGGCCTCCTTCACCAGTATGCCCACTCTAAGAGTTAGCTGAGTCTCAGTTTCTTCCCTGTAAATGGAATCATACTAACCTCACAGAGTTAAATATGATGCCATATATAAAAAGCATGTGCCCAATGTGTGTACAGGTGATTAATAAATGTTCAGTCATTCTCTCATTTGTTCACTTATATTCTTTCACTGTAAAACAGGCAAAGGCAATTTGACAATCCAGATGAAGTACCATAAAAATGTTCATACCCTATGACTCTAATAAATCCCCATCCCTGGTACACAGAAAGAGCTTAATAAAATGTCTATTAGGATGAAATCAAACTGAAGATGATAAGGAAGAGAAGCTTCAGTTCCAATTCCAAATATACTTGCTTCCGCATTACATATAGTTAAAATGAAAAACAAAGAAAGAAGGAAAGAAAGAAAAATAAAG